ACTAAGATTCACAAGTAGTGTATTTTGTACAAGTCTATAAATCCACTCAGTCTGGATTTTAAAATGTGCACGTGTAATGTAAAACTTCTAAAAACATCAGTATTAGTAGCTTAGCTTAGTAGCACAAATGTGAACTTATGGGTCAGTGTGAGACTTTGATATCTTTAAAATGTGACAAAACGCACCCCAGCTGTTAGCCATTAAATTCCTTGAGGGAATGCATGTCACCCTAGCAACTATTATTGTTGCGCTTACCTTGCTGCTTCTGTCAACCTCCTGTGTCATCTGGATTGTTCCAGTTTGTCATCTTTTGCTGGATTTTTTCCTGTGCTATGCTGTGGACTACATCGCACTGCCTTTTGGATATCCTTTTCGGAGCCGTGGTCTGCTGTTAGCGGCTAGCTCTGTGCTAGCTTCCCCCGGCTTGGCTGGCTCGTCGATGTTGACCTACTCCGCCTCCCAGCTGATTGGACTTAACAATTGCTCCATTCCACCTTCTGTTTCTATCATTAAACAACTGGGTCTTCTGCGAAGACCTCGTTATGTCCATAGAGGTTCTCGGAAGAGAACTGCTTACTCTCGGCAAGCTGTGTCTGACTCCATCCCTTCCACCTGGTCTATCGATCCTGCCGCACATCGATTACATCATCAGAATGCTGCCTCTATAGTCCCTGATATTGCTGAAAGATCACAGCGCACAAAGTGGCAAGGAAAACGTGGAGTGGACTTCAGGCTGCTTAAACCTCTTCTAAAGGCTTCTACTCCAACCAATATTAAAATAGAACTTTTCAATGCTCAATCACTGTCCAATAAATCATGTCTTATTCATGATCATATTCTGGAGAAGAATTTGGACCTCATGTGCCTTACTGAAACATGGCATCAACCAGATGTGTACAGTTCTCTGAATGAAGCCTGTCCCTCTGGATACAGTTATCTGCAGAAAGCCCGCTGCACTGGCCGTGGTGGTGGTCTGGCTGTAATTTACCGCAGTAATTTAAAATTATCTACGTTTACATGCATAGAATTTTTTGACCGGATTGAAATGTGTTCTGTTTGAATAATTCAAATGTATTGTTTACATGGGCACAATCTGTTTATGGCGAGCGTTTACATGCAGCGGGCTTTGTTCTGAACAGCAGTACTGACATGCGCAGAGTGGTAAACTCTCCTTAAAAAAAACACCGAAGAAGAAGTTCTACTTCCGGGTGAACGTAAACAAACCTGAGCACCCAAAATGGACCCGCGACAGGTTTTAATGATGGTGGAGACGTTACTGCACTCCCTGACTGAGCTACAGGTAATAGAAATCATTTTGAGCTCTTTAAAAGTTTCTAGTAGAAATCTTGTGTCGCTCACCGACCAGTTTTACTTCCCTGACATGCTAATATTATTAGCGTTAGCCAGGCGGAAATGGCAAAGTCGCACATGCGCAGTCAGGTCAGTTTTTCACCATCAGATAAAAACGAACAGATCAAGCGTTTACATGCGCACCGATCGGGTTTCGGATCGGCGTAAACCACCCATTTCGTTCTGACCACAAATTATATCGGATCGCGTCGAATACACAAAAAATAACCCGAACAGAGTGTTTACATGACACACTTTTATTCCGACAGGCCATTTGATCCGTTTACTTATGTCCATGTAAACATACCAACAGTACCTATCAATAACTTATCTGTATATGACCTGGGTGTCTCAGACCACAGTGTCATCTCCCTGGAAGTGCCTTCAACTTCATCTGCTCCTAATCCTAAACGACTTATCCTGTTCCGTGACTTTAAAAACATTTCCCCTGAGGTTCTGTCCTCTGATCTCCACTCCCTGACCACTGTCAATCATTCATCTGCAAATGACTCTGTGGATTACTACAACCAATCTCTCCAGGAGCTTCTGGACCTCCATGCTCCCTTTAAAGCAAGGCTGGTGTCTTTCTTCCGTTCAGCCCCTTGGTACACTGCTGAGCTGCGCAAGATGAAAGCAGCTGGCCGTGCTATTGAGAGACGTGTAAAATCATCTGGTCTCTCTGTACATCAGCAGGCATATAAAGAACATCAGAAAGCCTACGTCTTTTCTCTTAAAGAAGCACGGTCCAAATAGTATTCTAACATCATCAACAACTGCCCTGGAAACTCTAAACAACTCTTCTCCACAATAAATCATCTCCTTAATCCCATTAAACAGTCTCATGAGGACTCTGTTCAAAAATGCAACCTGTTCCTTTCATTTTTTAAAAACAAAGTTAACTCCATTAGATCTCAGCTCCATAGCCTCCCTGATCTTCATCTGCCATCTACCCGTCTGCATTCTGGGTCCCTGAGCTGCTTTGATGAGGTTGTTGAGAGTGAAGTGGAGACCATCATCAAGAAAATGAAGCCTTCATCCTGCGCCCTGGATCCCTTCCCCTCGTCTCTCATTAAATCCAATCACTCTGCAATAAGCCCATTAATCACACAAATAATAAATAAGTCACTGCAATCTGGTCAAGTTCCACTGCCTCTTAAAACTGCCATCATTAGGCCTCTTCTGAAAAAAATCTAATTTGGATCCAGACATTCTTTCTAATTACCGCCCAATTTCTCACCTCCCATTTCTGTCAAAAGTGCTGGAAAAAGCAGTTGCTGCTCATCTGCAGATCCACCTACAACAACACTCCCTGTATGAGAAGTTTCAGTCTGGCTTCTGTGCAGCTCACAGTACTGAGACCGCACTGCTGAGAGTCACCAATGATGTCCTCATGGCTGCTGACACTGGTTCTCCCTCCCTCCTTGTTCTCCTTGACTCACTGCAGCTTTCGACACTGTGGACCATAGTATCCTCCTCCACCGTCTTCATATGGAGGTCGGTCTCTGTGACACTGTCCTGGACTGGTTTAAATCTTTCCTCTCCAATAGGCTGGAATGTGTGAGTCTTGGCAATGCCAAGTCCCAGACTGTCTGTGTCTCCTGTGGTGTCCCTCAAGGGTCAGTTTTAGGGCCCCTGCTATTTTCCCTTTACATGTTGCCTTTAGGTCAAATTATTAATCAGTACAACATTTCTTTTCACTGTTATGCCGATGATACACAGCTTTACATCAGGACTGGAGCATCATCTTCACCACTGTCATCTTCATCTTCACTCGCTGCCCTCTCTACCTGCCTGGAGGAGATAAGGGCATGGATGAATCAGAACTTTCTTCAGTTAAACTGCTCCAAAACAGAGGCCATACTGATTGGCACCCCTCACCAGGTTCAAACTTCAACTATAACGACTATTTCATTTTCTGGACAAGACATCCCCCTCTCCACCTCTGTTACAAATCTTGGAATAAAAATGGACTCTCATCTTACATTTGAAAATCACATTAAGCATCTGTTTAAAACCTGTTTCTTCCATCTTCGAAATATCTCCAAACTGCGCACATCTCTCACTTTTGCTGAAGCAGAGAAACTCGTCCATGCTTTTGTCTCCTCCAGGCTCGACTACTGCAACTCCCTGTTTACTGGAATACCCGGCAAAAACCTTCAGAAGCTTCAATATATTCATAACAGTGCAGCCAGGATTTTATTGAGAGCTCGTAAATTTGAACATATTACACCCATTCTCCATAACCTCCATTGGCTTCCTGTCACTAACAGAATTCAGTACAAAATTGCTCTCATCACCCAACAGTGTTTACACAGAAATTCACCAGATTATCTGAAGGACCTTCTTGCTCCATATTCATCCACCCGGTCCCTACGATCACAGAACAGTCATCTCCTCCACCTTCCACGAACTAAATTAAAGACCATGGGATATCGGGCATTCTGTGTGGCTGCCCCCCACCTCTGGAACTCCCTCCCTGACTATCTGAGAGCTCCACAATCATTGACTGACTTTAAAAAAGGTTTAAAGACTTTTCTTTTTAAGCAAGCCTATTCTGCCTCCACGTGATTGTATCATTGATTTTAGTTGATTTTATCATTGATTTTAGTTGATTTTGTCATTGATTTTAGTTGATTTTATCACAGATTTTAGTTGATTTTATTACTGATTTTAGTTGATTTTATTACTGATTTTAGTTGATTTTATTACTGATTTTAGTTGATTTTATCACAGATTTTAGTTGATTTTATTACTGATTTTAGTTGATTTTATCATTGATTTTAGTTGCACTCTGTAGCACTTTGAGATTTTTGTTAATGAAAAGTGCGTTACAAATTAAATTCATTATTATTATTTATTACAAAAACCTCTGAAGACACGTCTTCTTCTTCTGTAAATAAAAATAAAAACGAAGTGGCATCAAGTTTTAGCAGTTTTAGGAGTTATATTTTGTCATTTTTCAAAAATGGACTTAGCATGAGCAGAAGATGAGACAGAAGACCATGGAGAATATTGTTTTTCACACAAGGCAGCTGACGGCTCCATATAAGGTCAGAGCAATGCGTGTTTGTTTACCCTGCGGAGCGGGGCTCGGTCTGTTTACATTCACACTGTACTCGAACCGCGCTGGAGTTCTCTTCTACCGGACCGAGACCTAGGTTTTAGCCCGGGCCAGAGTTCGCCTTTTTGTTCCGTGACAGAGTTCGATGGCGCGTTCACACCTCCCTAAACGAGCCGGACTTTCAAGGAAAACGAGCTAGAGTTTGATTAAAGCGAACTAAACAGGGCTAGTGTGAATGCACCCTAAGAGTTACACAGTGTATGAGAATAGAGGTAATTATTTATTTCTTTTCTTTTTTTTAATTGTCTGAGGCAGTGCAAAGTGATAGATTTTAGAAAGTGGAGGGAGCAATTTAATACACAACAAGGCACAATGACAGAGCCAGGGGGTGACTAATGGCCACGCCAGTCTTTAAGGAAACTATACTTTTAAGCAATATAAAAAGTAGAAAGCATAGTTCCCCAAATGATTGGTGTGGCAACACAATTTTCAAAAGGACCTTTTTTAAGCTTAGATGCAGCCACACACCCAAATGGAAGTTGGTGCATCACTTATTTGTCAAGTTATCGTGCTCACAACATTCAGGGATAAACAGAAGAATGGAAGGAAGGACAGATAGATGAAAGGTGGGTATTTTCAATTCCTCTTCTTCACTCCATGGCAGGGGACTAGAAACCAGTGATGGGATTTTAATAAAACTCCCATAAAACAATCATTAAACATTTATCTACAAATGAAAACACTTTTCGAGTCAAGTTGACCGTCCAAACTAATTAAACTTATAAAACACAAAAATGGCTTTGCCTCGGTAAGTGTTACAGATATTAAGCCAATATTTCATGCAAGTTGTTTAGTGCCATCACCAACGTGCTCTGGGAGCTAACCTATCATGCAAAGGATTTGTTTACAACGTTGACATGTAAGACAACCAGTGATATATACTCTTTCTAGTAATGTTGGTTTAATTTATAATTTTTTTGCAACTTATGAGTATAGAGAATGGTAAAGCCAGCTAATGACAGTGCTTCCCTGCTCTCTCCATGTTGCTCCCAGCATGCATATGTCTGCTACACAACTGTTTGTGAATGTGTTTGTGTGTTAGAACATTAATGCTATCTTGCCCTGGTAGTAACACACTCTCCTGAGTGACCTGAGCTCAACTGGATCAGTCCAATCAGAGCTGGTTGCTCAGGTCACATTATAATGTGGTCCAGGGCTCGTGTGCTTTGTTCTTAATGAGATGGAAAACAAACTTTATTTTTAAAATTTATGAGAAGTCTCTATGAGCAAAGCTCCATTTGCTCACAACCTTCATGAGAAGGACAAAACATAACAACGGGAACATGCACCTCTTCCACTAAGCCAATTCTATCGGTACACACGTGTGGAGCAGTGAAGTGGAAACTAAAAAGGATTGTAAAACTGCTTGTACAATGTCAGGCTTAGCGTTAAAACCAGTGCTTTTTTATTTGTTTGTTTACCTGGAACATGTCTGTATTGCTGTCATGAGTGTACTCCACCACCACCGTCTGGGCTCGGGACAGAGTGTACGAGATGCTGTGCTGGTCTTTGTTGCTTATGGCCTGGTGAGACAGGACAACAACAGAGACAGTGAACAAAAACAAAGAACACCCCCCTCTCCAAAATTTTTCATCTGAAATCAAATGCTTCACAAGATTTCATAAGAAGTCTGAGTTTGATTTAATGTGGTGAAAAAAACAGCTTAAACACAGTGGTGTAGTCTACATTTTTGTAGTGGGTATACTGTGCTTAGAAAACAAAATACAACAATTAGTACAATGTAATCATCAATTTATTTTGATTTCCACAAAGCACCTCCCTAGGAAGCGGAAGATGGATGGATGAATGGATGGATGGATGGATGTATATGTGTTACATACATACACACACACACACACACACACACACACACACACACACACACACACA